GCTGGCACTTGGAGGGACTCATGGAAGTGGAGATTGTGGGAGCAGAGTGAGGTTCCCTTGGGGTCCCCTTCCAGGACTAGGGTTGGAGGGACACATCACTTCAAAGGGGGATCTCCTGCCTTCGTAGAGCATGGAATTGAATTCATTCCAGATAAATACACACAAAATAGGTCTGCAGCTGAGACCAGTGGGGCCTTAGACGCAGAACACAGAAAGCCTGAAGTCACTCTGGTCATACGATTAAATGATCAAAGTGTCCCACCAGCAATGCACAGATTAACCACGAGATCGCAACACACAGTGAGCCTGTGGGGGAAACACCCTGGCTAGAGGTCATGGCCCCGTCCTCCCAGTCAAGTGTGCTCACTTCTGTGGAGGAGTACATTAGCATCTAGGTGTTTGCTCACCTCTTGCCAGTGTCAGTGGAATGACCTGAGCCGCTCTGGGGCCCTGGGGAACGTTGGGTTTGTGAACCAATTGCCTGAGAACCATACTGTGAGGCACGTAAATTCACTAAGGACAAACATTAGCGGCAATAATAAAGCAAGGCACTAGTGCTGTGTGCCTGGAATCTCAGCATTTGGGAAGTAGAGTCAGGAGGATCAAAAGTTTGAGGCCAGCCTGGGGTTCATGAGACCTGCCTCCAAAATAATCATTAGTTAACAATATAAATAAAAGACAACTCTTAACTTCCCTCAGGACTCAGTTCTAATGCTGGCCATGAAACTTGTCCTTAGCTGGACCCTCATCGCTTTCCCATAGCTATTTAGTCATTTAGTAGGCATTATTAGGCCCCTGCTGTATCCCAGAACCTGCCTGGGCAATGAGAGTCAAGTCTCTATGGTAAAGAAGATGCACTACTTCAGAAGAAATTTCTGAAAGAGCAGAGTCTGAGAAGCCCCGCCCAATCCAACCTCATTGCAAGGATAGCTTGAGTGGAGGTGACTTTGAAACACAAAGGCCAGGACCTGGGTCTGTTCCAGAAGGTAAAGAGAGAAACTGAAGGAGAGGGAGAAAAAGGTAGATCCTCCGGCAGGTGACCTGTTAGGGCCCCTGCCCTGTGCAGTCCTCTTTACTCTAACAGGCATGTCAAAGGAGAGGGGATATAATACTCATGACCATGGAACATGTAACATGCATGAGCATATCACATGTGACTTTACCTTAGGAGATGAGAGGGATGGCTTCTGACCAGCCTTGAGAAGGCTGAAGCCATATGAACCATTTGTGAAGGGGGCAGGAAGCAGGTGGCTGAGGACAGAAGGCAGCCATCAAGAAGCTGGCCATGGGTCTAGGTTTGTACCTCAGTTGGACAATGCTTACCTAGTATGTCCGAAACCCTGGGTTTAAACCCCAGCACTTGGTGTGGTGGTGAAGGCCTATAATCTCAGTGCATAGGAGGTGGAGGCAAAAGGATCAGAAGTTCAAAGTCACCCTTGGTTACTTACTAATTTTGAGGTCAGTCTGAACTACAGAAGACCATGTCTCAAAACAATAACAGCAAACACACACACAAAACATGCAAACAAGCAAACGAAAACAACAGAAGCTGGGCCCTCAGGCCACTAGCTGCGTGGAACCAATTCTACCCATGGCTTGAGGGAGCTTGGAAGTGGATTTTTCCACAGGAGATCCCCCAGATGGGAAGAGGCCCAGCTGACCCTACACTGGGACCCTGTGGAACAGAGATGCTGAGATGAGAGACCTAGTCAGGTTTTGACTTTGGATTTAACAGACCAAGGAGGCTAAAGGCCCCAATGTGCTCTCCCAGCGCCCAGAGAAGTTGCTCGATTTGTATCCTACTGACTTAGAACAAGGGATGCCCACAGGAGGGGGGCGCTGGTGAAGGTTGCTGGATTGTGGGATCCTGAGAGCAGAGGGAAACAAGAAGTAGTAGCTCTGAGAATCCATGAGACATGAAGAGGGGTGGCTCAGGGTGCCATGATTGAATCATGGTGAGATCGGAGGGACATGGGTGTGCCACTTGGGAGGTTCAGAGCCGTATGAATGGCTGTGTCAATGTCTCTATCAAAGAGAACGTCACAGGGGAGGTGCCATGTATGCTGTAGGTGCTATGAGCACTGACAACGAGAACAGAGGTAGAGGTTTCACCAAATATCTGCGCCTCAGAGACACTTTAATAAGTTAGGAATAAGAAAGCAGCACTCATCATGCACCGGGCTGTGCCTGACCAGAAGCCTTCTTACAGCAGCCCTACAGACAGGGTGATCTTCCCATCTTGCAGATGCTGCTCAGGCTCCCATGCCTATCAGTGAGATGGCCCAAGGACTAAAGGCGGTGCCACCAAGCCTGGCAACTTGAGTTTTATCCCTGGAACCTACATGAGCATGAATGCAGGTGAGACTTGAACTTAAAAGAAGAGAGGGCCTCGAGAGGGCACAAGTGAAGGTGAGAAGACACAAAGGCACACGGCATGCTTAGCTTAGCAATGACTCAGTGGCCAGCACGGTTCAGAGCCTGGTTTGGGACCAGTCGTCAAGTGTCCCAGAGATGAAGTGGGAGCCGACAGTAAGACTTAGCATCTCACCGGAGCTGGCTGTGTCCTCTGCTTCCCTGAGGCAGATGCTACAGAAAGCCACCGGCTCCCCAGGCACAGCCAGGAGCCCTGGGATGGAGGTGCAGTAGCTCTCAAGCCAGGCTCTTCATTTACCCAGCTGAGAGGCTGGACCCCAAACAATCAGGTTTAAAAAAAAAATCAGAACACTTGTAAGACTTCAGAAGCTCACCCTGCCTGAGTCCCTTGTCAGTTCTGGTGGCATTAAGTCCAGGCTGAGGCCTGTCATCCGACTTGCTATGCCTGGAACCACCTGAGTGGTGCCCGCACCAGAGTGGCATTCCTTGGCGCAAGAATGCCAGCCCAGGCTCGGGGGCGGGGACAGGGGACAGAAACACAGACTATAGTCTTGCTTAAGAATTAGAAAGAGGGCTCAGGACCAGGAGGCTTGGGCGGATGGGGGGGGGGGGATCAGAAACAACCACATCATCCTGGGATTTGAATAGGGCTCAATGGTAATGACTTGTTTAGCATTTGTGAGACCCTGGCTTTGCGCTCCAGACCAGGAAATAAACAAAAAAGCAATATGTCATTTTCCCACAAAGGTTTAATTCCCTCTTGGATGGAAACGTTAAAGCACGTCCATTTTTTTAGTGGCACAGTTGCTCTGCAGCAGCCCTAACTGTATAATAAACAAAGGAAACATGAACACACTGGCTCTTCTCAAGTTAAGACAGCATTCCTATCCCAGCCAGGAGGCGTGTTCTGGTCTAGTGGACAGAGGAGGGGGCTAGAGGGCTGCACAGATAGACACCTGTCACCAGGAGCACAGGTTGGGGAAGGGCATCTTAGCCCAGGCCATATGATGACAGGGGTAGGACTTGAGCCAAGTGCCAAGGCCAGCGTGGGAAATCCAACCTCACTACAGGGTCTGCTGTGTGTGGTGTTTGTGTTCTGACTAACTGCCCAGGCAGCAAGGACAATAAAGGCACAGCAGAGGGACACGAAGCTTCCCAGAAGGAAGCCTGTCTCACTTCCTTAGCAACTGGAGAACTGTTTCCCTGGCCAGTCTTGCCTAGAGCCGGCAAGCAACTTGAGTTCAGAGACTAAGATCTGGGCCAGCAGTACCCATCAGGGTTGAGTACCCGGCAGGCATGCACAAGAGTGCAGATACAGCTAGTGACTCATTAGACAACTATTCTAAGACTGCAGTCCCTGGGAAGATAAATGGACACGGCAACAAGTGAACGCACACAGAATAACAAGGAGCGGTAAGTGTTTTGGGGGAGGGCAGAGAAGAATGGATCTAGTAAGCATGGTGGGAGGGTTCGGTGGAGGGGGCCTTTCTAAGGCGGCAACTATGCTGCTGAGATACAAAGGAAGACTAATAAAGGGGGAAAGGGCTCCGGGCAGAAGGAACGGCATGTGTAGAGGCCCCAAGCCAGGGAAGGGTCTGGTCTGATCAGGGACCAGAGGCTCACAGGACTGGCAGCCGTGTGACATGAGATGAGGTTCCCTGAGACTGTCTGGCCACTGCGGGGAGAAGAGTTGGCTATGGAACAAGAACTGAGGTGCAGGGACCAGCAGGGTGCCTGTGAGTCCAGATGAGGGAGAGAGAGGTCTGTGCCCGTGTGGAGGGGTGTTCTACCCAGGAGATAGTCGGCTCAAGTTGTTGACAGTCTGTTGCTGGACAAGGAAAGAGCCATAGGGCTGGGCAGCGGCAGTGGCCATTTACTTACAGCAGAAAGTGTGGGATGCTCAGTGTTGGGTAAAAATCTCCAGATATTGTGAACCATCCGTGGAAGAGATATTAGGTAGCCGGTTAATGGCCCGTGGGACTCATAGAGAGATGGGGTGCTCTGTTCTTGGGGGGTGCTGAGATTGTAGGTTTTTATTTGAGATGTATTGAAGGTTTGGTCCCAGTGCAGCAATGTTCAGAGGTGGGGCCTTCGGGAAGTAGGTCATGGGGCTTTGGGTCATTCACTGGTGGGTTCTTATTGGGGTGCTGGGACATGTCACTGGTGGTGTGCTCTTGAGGATGTACCGGGACAGCAGGTCCTCCCTGGCTCTCCCTTTGAGGATCAGGTGCCACGGATAAGCAGCTCTCCTTCACAGATATTCCCTTCCATGATGCTCTGCTCACCCCGGGCCCAGCCATGGATCAACACCTCTGAAAAGATGAGGGAAAACCCTTCCTTCCTCAAGTTGATTTTCTTGGGAGTTATGTGACTGAAATTTGCATAAAAGGAGGTGATAATTGGCGTGGGTTGAGGAGTCAGGCTTCTGAAGGGAGGTGCAGAAGCAGCTGACTGGTACGCTGGCTGGAAACACCATCTCCGCCTCACAAGAAGGGGCCAGCGCCTCCATAACAGAGAGCCAGGGAGATGGGCTCCCGGGGCAGAGCTCCGTGCCCTTGCCTACTCATCATCCTGTCACCTGGAAACCACCCGTCAGCACCCTGTGCCCTTCCCGTCCCTCCTCTCACCTGGAGACCACCAGTGGTAGGATCAGCATCTTCAGCATCCTCATCAAGAGTTCACCAGGGAACTGGAAGTAACTAATCTCCTGGAAACACAGCGAGATCTGGGTCAGATTGGGTGGTACAGACTCCATACTGCTTGCTTCCTTACCATCTTGAATGCACTGTCCAGTCTGCACACTCCTGTCTGGCATCTGGACAACAGGAGGCTGAGAGAAGACCCTGATGAGCCCCTCCTCCAGCCTGATTGCCTTAGCCCTCTAAGTTTCCTTATCTCCAACAGGAGGATAATGGTTACTTATACTCATTGGAGGCTCAATTGAGAGACTCCATGAGCACTCAGCACCTCTCCTGAGCATGTCAGCATCAAGTCCTCTGTAGCTTTCCCGATCAGCACCATCCGTGGTGTAAAGTCTACTCCATGCACCAGATAGTAAGTGGCAGGAGGGCAGGGATTCATACTGTATCTACAACCCACACTAAGCCAGGCATCACTCTGGGGTCCCCAAAATGGACTAAAGCCAAGTTCCTGCCCCAAGAAAAGTCCCAGTCTAGCTAATGAAGGGATTGACCAATGAATCACCACCTTCTCATAAGCCAGTAAGATTCCGTCCTCTAGCTCACTCCTGAGACATACTGGCTTTGGAGGCAAAGGTCTCTCCCATTCAGTGTAAGGCACCCTCCTTGGGCCTTTCATAGCCACTGTCTCCTTGTTCAGATAGATTTTAACCATCCTGGTACATCCTGGTAGAAATGAACGCATTCTAAAAAGACACAAGTGTCCCTTCCTTTGGCTGTCACATCATTGAGACAATATATACCCCAAGGAACTGGAATTTTCCCAGGAGCCTCGTGTTGGGAGAAAAAGGCTCAAATGTAGTGGCAGCCAGAAGAACTTGTCTCCCTGGAGAGATTTCACACAGTTCTGATGACTTGTTGGACCATGTTATAAAAGGAAGAGGAGCCAAGACAATGATGGGTTGATGATGGTGGACACAGCCAGGACTGTTTAGCTGCGGGTATCCCTTGCCCTCTATTTATTCTTAAACCTTCATACCAGGATGGCTCCAGAGGCCTCTCTGATCCTCTTCTCAATGTGGCCACATGGAAGAAACCTTCATTTTCTGCCTTTCATTGTCACTTGTTTCTTTAATTGGTCTATTGAGGGTGAGGCTGAGCCTAGCTCATGAGGGCTGCTAGGGCCTGAGCTTAGCCACTACCAGCCATGGCCACAAGCTGCTTCCCACTGGCAGTCCACAGGAGAGGAACCCAACAAGAGTTGTCATGAATAGCGAAGCCTTCCAGATGATAACGGAATTCTGTCCTGTACTTACTCTACAAAACAACTCGTGGATTTTTCTGAAACTCTTACACAACTGGGGTACTGTTTCTAAAGCTTGACTTCAGGTCTGTTTCTGGCAATCCTTGACTGGGATCCTTATTCCAGAGAGGGAGGGCGTGGGTGGTAGAGGCTGAAGGGTCTGCAGACACCATCCAAGTTCCATTTGGATGCCTGAGAATGTCTTAAAAACTAGTGCCAAGCTGGGTGTGGTGGTACACACCTTTAATCCCAGATGTCTATGAGTTCCAGGCCAGCCTGGTGTATATAGTAAGTTCCAGGTCAGCCAGGGCTTCATAGTGAGACATTGTCTCAAAGAAAAAATAAGTATGTAATGGCTTGTTAGGGGTCTGATGCCTTGAAAAGCTCCAAGCCATAGGATTGTGGTACTGCAGATCCCACCCAGCCCACTCATATCACAGACAGGAAGCTGATCTGGGAGAGATCTTGCCACCTCGTGACATGCAAGAGAGAGATCTGGGCTTCCTCCATTTCCAATGTGCCAGAAAAATCCCACAAAAATACACTCATTATGTATCATGTCTGTATCATTGAGTGTATGTAGTACTGGAGATTAAACCTGGGCTCTTGCATAGCTGTTTTCTCCATTTTATTTTGCATTAATTGTGTGTGTGCCTATGTATGCTTGCGCACGCGTGTGTGTGTGTGTGTGTGTGTGTGTGTGTGTGTGTGATGGCAGATATGTGGCAGTCAGAAAACAACTTGAAGTCACTTCTCTCCTTCCACCATGGGCTCCAGAAATAAAACTCATATGGTCAGGCTAGCACTTCTGCATGCCCAGCCATTTCACAGCCCAAGATTAACAGTATCTTAATTATCAAATACTATTCACTGCTGAGCCCAGAGACACCCTTGCAGCCGCTCCCCGTTACTTGTATGACTTACATTTTGTCTCTGAAATTAATAATTGACTGTTTTTATTCGCTTTGTTTTCTTTGAGATTCTCATTAATTTCTTCCAAATGTTTTTATCTATGAAAACATCTAAACAAGCATTTGCTACAAGAGAGGCGAATCTGTTTCCTTTCATCTCATCTGGACTTCAGGCCAGCATCTTTCCACCTTCCTGTCCTGGTTTTGGGGAGGGGGCAGGGAATCTCAAGGCTCAGCTGCTGTCCTGGCCTCTTGGCTTCCATAATGGGGTTTCTCCTGCATAGGATCCAGGGTTTCTGTCGAAGTTTATTTCTGTCTTTATTTTGGTGGAACCATCTCCTTTGTAGCTTCCTGAGAAAAGTTTCAGAGGGCAACTTCTGAGTCCTTCCTAAATTACCACAGTCCTACCCTTCCCTCTAATAACAATCTGGTTAGATTTGAGATTCTTATTGGAAAACAATTTCATTTTCTGGTTTTTAATTTATCTTAATAGTAGCGTGTGTGTGTGCACGCGCGCGCGTATGTGTGTGTGTGTGTGTGTGTGCGTGCGTGCAAATATCACTTCCCTGTTTTCCTTGTCCCTTTCCCTTTCTCGTCTGTCTTGTAGCTCCTGTCTTTGTTTCTTATTCTCTGTGCTTTGTCCATCTGGGACAAATAAATCTCCTTTGTGCCGAGAACGTGGTCTTGGTGTGTCCTGGGGCAACTCCAGTCCTTTTAGAGAAAATGTCTCCATAAGATTGGACTGAACCAAGTCTATGAGGGATTTTCTTTATGAATGATTGGTATGGGAGGGCCCAGCCCTCTGTGGATGGTATCTGCCCTGGACAGGTGGTCTTGGGCTGTATAAGAAAGCTGGCTGAATAAACCAGTAAGCAGCCCTCCTCTACGGCCTCTGCATCAGCTCCTGCCTCCAGGGTCCTGTCTTGAGCTTCTGTCCTGACTTCTCTTTGTGATGGACTACAGCCATAAGCATAAGTAAGCCTTTTCCTCCACAGGTTGCTTTTGGTTGTGGTGTTTATCACAGCAATAGAAATCAAACTAAGACTGTTCAATCTGCTGTTGTCGTTTGATGTTTGTGGTTCTGGAACTGTAACCTCTGTGCATTACCTACACTAAGCACACAGTGACATTGAGCTATATTACTGCCCCTACATGCCAGTCTTTAAAAATTGCATTTATTAATTTACTTGTGTGTATTTGTGTGGACACACATGTGCTGCATACAGCATGCATATGGAGGCCAAAGGACAACTTCCAGGAGCCAGTTCTCTCCTTACTTTGTGTGGGTCCTTGGGATTGAACTCAAGTCATCAGGCTTGACAGCAAGCACCTATCTCTGCTGGACCCTATTGACAGCCCCCATTCTGTTTGATGAAAACTATGCTATCTCTCATGTCTCCAAATGTCTTAAAATGAACTTTCTGAGAAAGGGCCTTGCTATGTAGCTCTGGCTGACCTGGAACTTGATCTACAGACCAGGCTGGTCTTGAACTCACAGGGATTTGCCTGCCTATGCTTCCCAAGTTCTGGGATGAAAGGTGTATGTCACCACTGCCAGCCCTTAAGAAATGACTTTAAGTCTCCAGAGACCCTCTTGCTCTTCATTCAGTCTCTGGTTTGACATTTGCCGCTTTTCTCACATTTCTGGTGACTCCTTCTCATAGGTAAGTGTGGAGTACGAAGTTTCTGGGCTCCACACTGCGGGTCCCTCAGGGCAGAGTGATGGGTGTAACCTTTATGGAGGAGACAGAGCCTGCTTTCTCAGAGGATTCATAGGTCTTTTGTGAGGCTCCAACAAGAGGCCTTGTGCCTATGCCTGACTGCCAGCTGCCTCAGGGTTCTGCTGAGGAGGCTGCACCTAGAATGCCATTGTCTACAGATTGTTTCAGGTATGTGGCTCAACACTGGCCGTCTCACCTCACACAGGTGGGCCTGATGTCCCTGAGGCAAGCTTCTCTGGACCCTGGGCAGACCAGGGTTACACACAGTGGAGGAGTCCCCTGACTACATGGCTTGAAAGAGCTCTGGAGCCTAAGTGCCTGCTCTCAACCCCATACTTCATCCCTGCTTGGCCCTTCCATATCAGAGCCCTTTGGAGTCCCATGAGATAAGCTACTCAGTAACTGCTCCTATGGGCTAGGATGCCAGCATCTTGGGCTCAGCTAGATGGGACTAGCCAGCTCCATCCACTTCCCATACTGTCCAACCAGAGTTCTTTCTCAATGACTCTATGTTCTCTTCATTTGGGTAGTTTGTCCTTGAAAATATTCCATCAGGGCTGATGAGATGGCTCAGTGGGTAAAGGGGCTTGCTGCCAAGTTGCCAGTCCTCTAAGTTCAATTCCTGGAGAGAACTGACTCCTGCAAGTTGTCCTCTGACTTCTGTATGTGCACTGTGGGGTGTGTGTGTGTGTGTGTGTGTGTGTGTGTGTGTGTGTGTGTGTGTATGTGTGTGTTTGCAAATGCTTGCCTACGCACACACATACACACACAAAATAAACACAATGTTTTTTTTTATTTTAATTCCATCAAAGTCCCAGGAAGGAAGGGAAATGCATGTAATTATAAATCCTCATGGCTTAAGTGGAAATCTCAAAATCTCTCTCTTTTTTTAATGAATTATTTGCATCCAAATGTAAAATCACACTAATTTTGTGAGTTTCGTTTCACAAATAGAGCATTCTGCATTTTCAAAATTGGTTATGATTTCTGCCTATTGCATAAGCTCAAACAATTGAAGAGTTGCTGAGTCACAGGCAGAGAAGACCAAACAGAAAAACCCTGGCTTTCAGAGGATGATGCTCAAGGAGCTACTTCCTGCCAAATAGCCTCCTTCAATGTATCTGGCAGGTTAATCCAGACCTGAACGAATCTGCACACCCAAGCACATGGGAAGAGCAACTCTGGTACAGGAGGCCCCAGGCGGTCAGGCTTTTACTAACTGGCATTCCTATCTGTTTTCACAAAATAATCTTCCTGCAGGAAATAGATAGTTGCTGCTCTGGGACCTGAGTGCAGATTGAAGAGTGCCAGGACCACAGAGGGGAAGGGTTATTTCAGCTCACAGGTGGAAAAGATCCAGAGCTTGGGGAAGGCACCAAAGCAAGAACATGAGGCAGCCACTCACAGAGCAGAGTCAGGACGACGCAGGGAGGATGCTGGTGCTCTGCTTGCCTTCTCCTTTCATTTAAGCCCACCCCTCCCCACCCCGCACCTGTGGGATGGTGCTGCCACATTCGAGGTGGGCCTTCTCTCTTCAGTTAACCCTTTCTGCAGACCGCCTCTTATACTTCCCCAAGGCGTGTGTTACCATGGTGATTCTAAATCAGAGTGGTCAAGATTAGCCATCACAGATGGCTTTGGCAGGGAGACAGGAGAGGGGGTGAAATGACATTCGGTAAATGCTTACTGTCTGCCAGACACTGCAGATCTTTACTCCCTTAACAGTTCTGGAAGAAACATATGCTCTCTTTACTCCACAGATAAGGAAAGGGAGGCCAAAGAGGAGAGAGGACTTTGCCCTGCCATTGTAGTTTGAATCCACTCCTTTACTCCATTTCTTAATCCGTTTATCTCCTTGAACTCAAGACTTAGCTCAATTCCACTTCCTGCTGCCCCCTTTTCTAAATATGTGCATTTTGTATTATTATTTGTCCAGCTTGCTGCTTTTCATTTTAAATCTTCATCAGAGTTACCACTAATAACCATACAACAGAGACTACACTTGGCTATTTTGAGATCTCCTCTGCCAATGGAATTAATCTACTGCTTTCCTAACCCAAAGTACCAAAGTCCATATTCCTCCAAATAAAAACATGGTCAGGCCTATCACAGCAATACCCCAGTTCCTGGTACCAGCTTCTGTCTTAGTTAGGGTTTCTGTTGCTGTGAAGAGGCACCATGACCAGGGCAACTCTTATAAAACAAAACATTTAATTGGGGCTGGTTTACAGTTTCAGAGGTTCAGTCCCTTATCATCATGGCAGGGAGCATGGTACTATGCAGGCAGACATGGTGCATAGTTGATCAGAATGCAACAGGAAGTAGTCTGAAGCACTGGGTAGTATCTTGAACATATATGAGACCTCAAAGACCACCTCCATGTTGACACACTTCCCCCAACAAGGCCAGTCCTCCTAATAATGCCACACTCCATATGAGCTGGGGGGGGGGGAGGGGACAATTACATTAAAACCACAGCATTCTACTCCCTGGTCTCCATAAGCTTGTAACAACATGTGCTTCTGAAGTCATTGCTTCTTCCTAAGTAGCTTCAGGTGGTGAGCAGGGTTGCCTGGTTGGTTACCAGGGATGGGGACACCATCCCTTTAATGAAAGATGGGAATCCGAGTATGAAGCCTGGCTCCAGCTTCAGAGACAGTGTGAGCTATCAGAAGAATGAAGAATCTATGGGGTCTGGAACGCTCAGGAGCCCACCGACAGACTCTCCTGAAGACAGAGAGCCCTCCTCATTGGGCCTCCATAGTGCAGTCATAACCAAAATCCTGTTAAGCGGGCCTAGAGAGGACCCCTCACTCTGCAGGCCCAAGCACTCAAGAGCTGATCCAATTTCTTTCCCTCTTCTCAATATTTGCTCCCTTGTCTGCACTGGGCAAGAGCATCACTCCTGACTTTACCTCTCTTAGTAACTTCCTGCCTTCAGGCCTGTCCTGCTGTGCCTGGGCTGTGAACCCCAGCTGTCTCTGTGTTTCTCCAGCAGGAGGACTTATCCCCATGGTCCTGAGCTGAGTCTGCCTTGTTGGAACAGGCAATTGTAATGTCTTATGTAACATCGCCAGTGTCTTCCTCTGTGGATGATACATTTACACGGTAGCCCACCTACTTCACCTCTGTCTCCCGCTTCCCATCAGCCACTGGGCCTGAAGTTTCCTCTGCAGGAACACCATTCTAACACCTTTCCCCTTCGGCCCAACGCCACTTGTCACTCACTCCCTTTGCATTTGCTCCCATCTGGCCCACTACCACCCTGGTTCCATTCAGCCCAGGGACGGCTCCAAAGTGTAGAACTGCCCCATCTCTCTTCATGTCCAAAGCCATGTCTGGTGGTGGAAGCTTTTCAGCTCTGGATCCCTGAACTCCAGCTCCTTAGTCTCACTGTATATTCCAGCCACGCACACACAAAGGCTTGATTCATTGCTCCCAAGTTTCATACACCCTTGAGCCTTATCCTGCTGACCCTGCTGCACAGGAAACCCACCCTGGATCCCTGGTCTGAAGATCCCTGGTCTCCTCACTCTTGCTCTTAACCCTGTCCTTTTCAATGGTATGTCTTTGCCCCCAGTCACCTTCCTGTGCTGGCTTTGTTGCCATTTTGCCAGCCATTTTACTGACATCTCATACCAGCATGTCTTGTTCACGCACATGATATAGACGAGAACACTGGAGCCCAGAGAAGCAACTGAGCTCACCTACTGTAATGACCCTGGGAGCCCCAGCCCTTCGGACCCTCATACCCTGGGGGGCCTGACCTGTGGTGAGAGGCGCTGGGTCCTGAGGAAGAAGCCAAGGAGGCAGCCCACGATGACAGACAGCACTGACAGGATGAGTAGCCCGTTGTGCCTACACACTGCCCGTCCTCGGGCCAGGGCAGCGCCCAGCACCATGCTGAGCCCAGCCGGTTGGCACCATTCCATGCGCTGTAGGATGTGGCCCAGGTCTGAGCTGGAGGCACAAGCTTCTTTACTCGCAGAGGAACAGAGTCCTAGGCACCTATTGCCAGTCTTGCAGCCATGGTCTGTGCAGCCACCCGGAGCAGAGCCACAATCCTATTACCAGCTGCACCATTAGGAGCGGGGAGCAGATTAGGGCCTGGGAAATTAGAGCAGGCCACATGATGGGAGCGTCCAGTCCTCAAAGCCAAATACTCCTCCTGGAGAGGGCAGGGGACCAGACACCATGAGAGGAAGCAGAGATGCATCGTCCCACCTCATTCCAGGGAGTCACCGCCAACCTCAGTAAGTGTTGGATGGGCAACTGAAGGCTGTCCTAGGAGCATGCTGTTGCATTAGCATGGTTCCCACTAACACCGGCCTCCAGAAGTCAGTGCTGTGAATGTGTCCCTCTGCCAGAGCACATTCAGAGTGTCTGTGGGAAGATCAAATGCTGTGTGCCAGGCTTGCCCCTGGGTGCTACTGCAAACCTCACCACCTGGAGACTCCGTTCCAGCATCCACGTCATCGAGAGAGGGACAGAGACTCCTAGAGCCTGAGTCAGCACAGTGCTGAGCTGTCACTAGGCAGAGTTGGGTCAGGTAGCACTGTGAGGAACTTAGACAAGTTCAGTTATCCTGACTTCAGCCTATTGTTGACAGGAAATGAATAAACTTTCTTTTGATATGCTTCAAGCCCAGGACCACCCAACCTATATCCCTCGGGGACTATCATCTACTTATTTATTTTTAAAGTATTTTTATTTATTCTTTTTATATGCATATACAATGTATCTTGATTATATCTGAATAAAAAAAAAGAAATAAAAAGGAGGGCATGGCTGCTTCTCGGAATGGTGGAGGCAAAGGTTGTTTTTTATTGTAAATATGAGGAAGAAAACAGCCAGGCGCATCTGGAAGAATCTAGAGTGAACATGGCCACGGGGTAGGGGGAGAGCAAGAGAAGATTCACTGACCAAGAGGGGTGGCCTGGGCCAAGAGACTGGTATAGCCAAAATGGCTGAGTTATATAGGAGCCAGGGGAGCTGAATGGGAAGGGCAGCCCAGCCCCCGGGCTGGAGGGCGGCATGTAGGATAGGGAGCAGCATATGCCAGTCAGAAGGACCCTGTAAGGTGGGGATGGAGAAAGGCTGGGAGAACCCTGGGACCAGAGTCTGCTCTGATATGTTTGTTGATAGGCATTATAGCCCTTTGTCCCGGTTTGAGACCTAACAATGTCTACCACAACAGCAACTCCTCCTGGACCCTCCCCAGCAACGCCCCTCACCTTAATGGCTTCTTTACATAACCCAGAGTGCAATTTGTGCCACCTGTGTGAGTATGGACAACCTACCAGCTGCCATACTCCCCGGGGAAGAAAAAGATTCCCCTTCCTTCAGCAGCCATCAGTAGCCAATAGCTCCTCAGCTAGGGGTGGAACTCATAAGCCCCTCCCCCATCCGTGCTGGGACTGTTGACCAGCAGCAGTTGAGGGCAACCACAGCTGCTGTGGACTCATGTCACATGCAGAAGAGGGAGAGTCACCACACTCCTCATCCTTCAGCTCTTACATTCTTCCTGCCCCCTCTCCTAGGATGTTCCCTGAGCCTTTCCAGGTCCCGTTTAGGGTCAGGCGTTTAACAGTCCTCACTCCTCAGCGCATAGGGCAGTCATACCTGCACTGCTGCCCACGGTGAGGAGAAGCTTCTGACTGAGGCTGACAATGGGAATAAGCATACCTTCTTAGAAGGCAGTTTAACAACAGGCCTGTCTAGCAAAACAACAATAGGGCCCCACACCCAACAAGGTCTGTGGTCTTTCCAGCCACAGGCCTTTGGCCAGGTTTAAGGCACCAAGGCCTCCCATTTTTAAGGATGGCAAAACGCGGGAGTTTGGCATTTGAGAACCACCCAAGTCTGCTACTTGCTAGCTGTATGATCCTGTGAACCATTTCATCTCACTCTGCTTCAGTCATGAAACAGAGATGATAATAGCATCTAGCCAGAGGGAACATGAATGAGGGTAAAGGTGAACTCTAGTGTGCTGAGCAGAGATGTGGCTGGAACAATTGTTCTGGCAGAAGCTCCACCCCAGCCTCTGGCATCCATACCCAAACAGTCTGGGATGTTATGGTGGAGGTTCCACCCAAGCCCCCTCCCTTCTCTCTCCAAACCCTGCTGCATCTCAAAAAGACCGACAAATGATGACCCCTCCCCGCAGAGATGCTCAAGACCACTCCCAAAGGGTATTGAAACTGCCTCCCAGAAAAGAATAGACCCGTGGCTTTTTGGGTTTCCCTTTCCGGTCTCTGAGGGACTGGAAGGCCATCTGGGAGCACTGCATCCATTAAACGGGCTTTTTCTAATTCGGTTTGATTTGGTCTGATTTGGATCGCTGCATTGGCAGAGAGGCTTATCAGGGTGTAGAAACTTTTCAACCCTCATCACACAGCATCTCAGAGGGAGATTCCTTTCTGCCCCTGCTTGTGGCCTGGCCTGACCTCTAAACCAGAGGGAATTAACCTGCCTGTGTCACTGGGCATGGTAATCTCATTAGAGCCAGTCAGGCGGCAGCAGGGAGCAGACTGTGGTGCAGGTGGGTGGGGTGTGACAGGTGTGGGGTATACAGCCAAGCTGCTTTCCAGACAAGTGACCAGAAAGGACAGGGGGAGGAACTGCACAGTCAGGCAAAGGAATCGGACACAGGCTCTGGTGCCATGGGGATGAAGAGACACATTCTGGTCCCAGCCGAACCAGCTTGTGACCTTGTCCTCAGTCCTGTCCTTTTCAAAGAGAAGGGAATGAGCACGTGTGTGCAGAGCAGCCCAAAGCCCCTACTCCAAGGCAGTAGACAAGGCGGGGCACCCTGCAGTGTGAGAGATTTCCCTTTCCTACTCTTAAAGCTCAAAGCTCCCTGATATGCCTTCAACTCCAAATGCCCCCTTTTCCAGCTTACTGGTGGTTAATTGTTGCTCAGAAAATTCTAGGCAGACTTAGGGTAGGTTTCAGGCAACATCTAGGCCCACACTTAGCTGTGCTACAGGATGGGTGTGGCTTGCTTTCCACTCCGGCTCTAAGACTGGCTTCCAGAATGTCCCCCACGATTGCCACTGACCCCACCCCTCCTGACCACCTGCCTGCTCCCCACTTTCCAGGACTCCAGTGTTCTCACTGTCTGTGGTGGAAGCAGGATGGTGTGCTGTCTCTCTGGGTACTGGGAACGGAACAGTGTGTCAGACACAATCTGGCCTCAGGGAACCTCTAAGAAAAGGGACTACTTCACACTAAAGTGTGAATGGCTGATAAGAGCCTTACTGCAGACAGCTTTGCATTAATCTAAAGGCTCCTGTTCTAGAACCTTTTAATAGATCACTTTGGCCCACAGAGTCAGTTGTCTTTTACAATATGACCAAATATGCAAAACTATTTATATAATTATACAAAACAAACAAGTTTAGGGAACCCTGGCAAGACAGAGTTAATCAGGTTGATGGAATTTGTGCCCAGTATGCATGAGGCCTTGGGGTCTGTCCCCAGCCCTGCATAAACCAGGCATAGTGGTGCACTCCTATAGTCCCAGTACTTGTAAAATTGAGGCAGGAGGATTAGAAATTTGAGACCACCCCTGGCTACTTAAGAAGTCAGAAGGCAACCTTGGTTGCCTAAGATACTGTTTAAAAAAAAAAAAAAAATCCTAGCTTTACTGCTAAGATTGCTGTGGGAACTTGGGCAAATGTTTTAACCTCTCTGTAAGTGTGGAGAAGATAATGGTCCCCTGTAGGTCTTAGTTAGGGTTTCTATTGCTGTGACCAGACACCATGACCATAGCAATGCTGAAGGAAGACACTTAATTGGGTGACGTACAGTTTTGGAGGTTTAGCCCATCATCACCATGGTGGGGCGTGGTAGCGTGTAGGCAGACGCGGTGCTGGCTGGAGGAGCCGAGAGTGGGGGAAAAGCTACATCTTGATCTGCAGGCAACAGGAAGTGGTCTGAGACACTAGTTGTGGCTTGTACAAATATGAGACCTCAAAGCCCACCTCACAGCGACATACTACCTTTAATAAGGCCACACCTACTCCATCAAAGCCACACCTCCTAATAGTGCCAGTCCCCATGAGTTTATGGGGGCCAAGTACATTCAAACAGCTTGTGATATGGCCTTCCTGCAATAGTGCATATAAGGTGACTAGGTCAGTGTGTGGCACCCGGGTGCTTGTAAGTAACTGCGCTTCCATTTGGGGTGCATTCCAGTTAGAGGAAGTCTCCAAAGCTGGTTGCTGACTTCCAGCCTTGTTGTGGGGAACCTCAGAGCGTTCTGAGGTTCTGGGGCTTGAGTAACACACATGAGGGAGATGCAGCCTCTGGAGGGGAGCACGTGCCCTAGGGGCCTGTCCTGGTTTGCTTTCTATTGCTGTCAAAAAAAAAAAAAAAAAAAAAAAAAAAAAGTGACTTTGGGAAGGAAAGGGTTTATTTGGCTTACACCTCCATCACAGTCCATCATTAAGTGGAGAGGAGTGTAAGCAGCGGCTGCAGGTGATAGATCACTACTTATTGGCTCCTCCTCCAGCTCTGTTAGGCTTTCTCTCTTATAGCTCCCAGGACCACAGGCTCAGAGGTGGTACCACCCACAGTGGGCTAAACCCTCCCATGTTAATCACTAATCAAAACAATGCCCCCACAGACCTTGCTACGGGGCGATCTGATGGAGGCATTTTCTCTACTGAGGATGCAGCTTCCCCAGCGACTCTAAATTGGCTCAAGTCGACAAAATCAAACCAAACCAGAACTAACCAGAACAGGGTCTCTCTTTCCCAGTCACTGCACACACCCTCTTCCTGCCTGTTACATGGCTTCCTTCCTCCGCCTCTTTAGTCTTTCTTTGCCCATGCTGCTTTCTCTGCACAATGCTCTTCACTGTCGCTGCAGTCCCAGGTCACATGCCACTCTTCCTTCACACCCTCTCTCCTCCCTAGCTCTGGTCAGCGATGAGCCCCAGTTCCTTAACAAGTCGCTCTGCTGAAAGCACAAT